GTTTGTCTGACGCGTGTACACGTGGGTTGGCCTTCGGACCACGTTCAGACCCCATTTGTCCTGCCCAGGCCCATTTGGCCTGTCGTCTTCCACCCTATGGGAAGCCTCGGTTCGCTACACTGGTGGAAGCGTCTGTCGCCGTCCCTCCCTTCAAATGAGGCATTGGTTTGGATGACTGGCTTTTCTGTACAAAGGCAGATCTCGAACTCTACGAACCTGCTTGGGGAGTGTCATTGCTACTCCGCTCCTTGCCCTACAGCCTACGTTGGGAAGCAATGGATGCGGACATCTCGCTTTCCTCAGTTATCAAAGACTGCTGTGACGTTCTTGTCAAACTGACATCTGGTTACAAAAACCGGGAGAGAGTGATAAAGACTTTGCGGGGAATGTCCAAGCATTGGCCATGAAGGCATTTAAGGATTGGTGTTCCCTGCGGGTTGCCTCATGAATAGCGGCCCAGTTCAAAAGGGGTGTACGTCCACCTGCTTTGGCAGAACAACTGGTGCAGATGAAGACTAGTAAATTGAGCTGCTTCATCGACGCGGCACTAGCTAAGCGCCAGGAGTTACAACTCTCAACCGAGTTCAAGGTCCGCATTCGCCCGCAGGCTCCCAACAGACGGCCTACTGGCGGGCAAAGGCATGCGCTCCGAAGAAGCCCCTAAACGCAGTGTGAGACAGTTTTCTTTGTATTGTCTAACTCTCTCACGATGTTCTACTTTTATGCGTGTACGGGCAAGCTAGAAGGTCACACATGCTCATTTCTTCTGGACTCGGGGCAGCCCGTTCCCTCCTAAATACAGGCTTTTCCAATGGTATGCAGCAAGACCAAAATTACCCTACCGGCTACTAGAACACGCTCTGCAGAAGGAAATGAAAGCTCAGTAATAGAAAAAGTGCCTATCAGAGTTTCTCCAATTGATATTTCCTACTTGCTTCATGTGCACCCCATTCCCAATTCTTCCTAAAACAAATGCCTAATAAATCATCTGCAACCAACTTTCTCTTGAAGTATGAGGGTCAAGAACCAGAAAAATAACTAGCAGTGCTATTGTAGAATCTTACAGGTAGACCATTAATATAATCTAAGCTTGGCAAAATATGACTTACCCCAACGTATGAATGTTTTGATCAAGGATTATACACTGATATCTAGCAACAAATAATGATCAAACCCATGTTTAAGCAATATTTATTTTTAGCAAAAGTATAAGTAATTACCATAATAGCTCACATGATATGCCTTCTAATTAACACACGCCAATTTGTTTTAAATAGTCTGTCAGCAGCGACGGTTTGAACAACCGCGTAGTCGAGTATGAGCTTTGGGAGTGATTTGGCGAACGAGGTGCGTCTAGTGAAGGGGAGCGTTTCATTTTACGAGGAGACCCAACTTGTGGATAAGGGGAAGTTGACAGTTAGGGAGAGGTAAGTCATTGTACTCACAGTGCTTCATATTTTGGACTCGTATGACAGGCTGCTAACGCTTGTCCTTGCTATTGTTTTGTAGCTCCATAGATTGGGATGGTGAGAATCGTCACTTCTCCCTTTTTTATCCCAACATCTGTCTCCATGCCGTCAGTCGTGACCCCTATGGTGGGGATGAGAATGTAAAATTCCCTCATCCACACATCTTCCTCATGGTTGATGGGGAGCGTGTTTGGTCCAATGGCGAGCCTCCGCCCTCCGGAAGTGGAGACAACGGAATGGATATAGATGACGAAAGTTGGTGGAAACTGTCCCCTCTGCTACGCACTTAAGCTTGCATTTGTATTCACGTTTTAGTGAGAGCCCCGTAACTGACCTTTGCCACATCTGTCCGGTATGTTTAGAGGACAGCGATGAGGAAGACGGAGACTACGGTACAGACGAAGAAAAAAATACCTTTATCCTCCGTTTTGTCCTGCCTGATCAACGTGACTTAGACGACCTTTATGCCGCTATTGCGGAATGCCAGTCTCTGAATCCCGATCCGGAGGACCTGTCCGAGGATGAATTTGGGAGCGTTCAGGAGTTTGAAAACGGCAATGGTGGTGCGTGCCTCCCTTCCCTTGCGCTAAGTTTCGCCCGTTTCCTCTTCCCCTCCCAGTGCCTACGGGTATAGTAGAATAGACCAGCCCTTCAAACATTCTTGCCACTACTTGCGGATTGTACACATGAATTGATTCACCACTTTGCGTTGTAGGAGAAGATAGCGATGAAGTCGATCCCGAAAATTTCACTGATGACTGAACTTCCCTGTACAGTATTTGCATGCAACTCTCAATAAACCTAATGTTTCCGCCGAAATTATTCTTACCTTTGCAGCTCCTGGAGTAACTGTAGACAAACGCGAATAGATGTCTCTTAAATATCTACGTGTTGGAGGTTTCACAAGGGTAAATGCGACAGATCAGTGTACTGATGCGCATCGCTAGGACATCTAGAAATCATTTAACATTAGTGCCTCCTAGGACTTCAAACTTATCTGTATCATTGAGTACCTCTCGGTGGACGTCGGTTACCCTCTGTGATCTCCCTTTATTTACTAGGGTTTAAGGTACTAAAGCACAAAAGAGGTCGGAGGAGAGTTATAGATAGGGGAAAAAAGCCCACAATCCCACAGTGGGGACAAATGAGTTTCCCACCTAAACCCCGTTGGTGGAGTTAGGATGGGGCTCCAAGTGTCCTGCAGTAAAAGGTGTATTCAAGCGCCAGATGAGTGTTCGTTTACTAGAAAAAATATGCCAGCAAAAAAGGTGTGAATATCGAGGGTGAACATCAAGAACGAGGAAGCGAGGCGAATGCTCTCTCAGCGAGCAGATTGGCTTCTTTGATGAGGCTTTCAGTGCGGGTGGCAAGATGAGATACTTTTGACTCCAGTTCCTCCATGTTCTCTTCAAACTTCACCTCCTCCGTATTTCGTCTATCCACCTTCTCTTGGAGCCGCTCCTTTATAGAGAGAAAAGGGAACCTGATTTGGTGTCAGATTTTGAAAGCAGCATGCGAGGAGGACATACAATTATTCACATTAATGAGGGATGATCTTGAAGATGAGTACTTACTCTCAACAGGTACATGAATTCCATCACTTCCCTCTGAAAGTTTTCAGCGTAGACGCCCATTTTCTGATTCAAATCAAGGTAGTATTCATAATCCTTCTGTAAAGTCAATAAAGTGCAATCCGAGCCATTAGTCAAACGAAGTAGCCGTTTAAACAACATAAACCTATGGTGCCGGAAAGAAGGAAGATTCAATTTTCTAAGGCTAACGAACAATCACATCAAACCATTTTCAAGCACAAAATCAATGAAGATTGGCAATTAAACAAAGCAAAAATAGATGGCACATAGCTGACTACTTGGTGATAATGGACAAAAAAACCTGATTTTGTTGGACGTCAGCCTGTAGACTTTTCAGGTACTGTTGTCGCGCATCGGCCGACTGACGCGCTTCCGAAATAGCCACATCAGTTTCTGTGATCCACTGATCAAGTATCTCCTTCTTTGACAGCGCCTGACGCTTTAGATCCTCGAGTTGTCTCGTTGATTCAACTAGGTTCTGCTCAAGTTTTTCCAGCTCTTCTGTCTAATGAAAAAAAATAAAGCTCATAGGCGTCTTAGGATGGTTAAGTAGAATGCAAAGTGCCGCTGCACTCAACAATGTGGTCTTCCACATCTCATCCTACGGTATGAATGCATAAAAAATTTCATTAAGCTTTTGGATGAGTGATTTCGACAAGAGGCAAGGAGATAACTCGAGCCGCCCTAACCTCTATTGCTACTACCGCACAGATAAAAAGTAATACCACTAAATGACAAGTGTTCCTGATAAACGACAATTTTTTTAACATAAAAAAGGATATAAAGTCTCAAAGCCCACCTTCTTGTTCAGATTTGATTCCAAACTTTCCAGTTCAGTGCGTTTGCGGTCGACTTCAGCTGCGCTGGACTCCGTTGCGAGTTTTAGCTTTGCTTCGACATCAGCAAGTTCGGAGCAAATAACAGGAATTTCTTTCAATGGATCAAAGGTATGGACATAGGACCGCATCTTCAGTTGCGGCAATGAGGGATCAGTCTGCATACAATAAAGTTATCACATACTTTTGTAGCTCTAAGATAGCTCCTTCTAGATCGTTATGCTAAGGCTTAAAATTGGAGAAGCTGGAGTGTAAGTCATCCACATATTTTCTACAACTACGGATTTAGTAAATGAGCACGTACCAGACGGACAGCAAGAGAGTTGTATTCGTCAAGGGCTGGTGCCACGGGCTTGTCTAGACGCCCAAGTTCGATAGAGTGTTCGTGCAATAGCCGAACCAGTTCTTCTTTCACATGAACACGCTGTTGATAGTGCTCCACTAGACGCTGATAAGTGGTAACGATGTCCCCGAACCTAAAATGCAATCGAGTATGCAAATGAAATGGTGCAACGATATAGTACAATCAATACCATAGCAGTACCCATAAAATAATGATAAAAATTACCAAAAACTTGACGAGTCTCTGAAGTCGTTATAATTTTTGGAGCGAAAAACGATCATTCAAATGTGAGAATATTCCGACTCACTTAGCTCGTTGTGACGTAACAACATTCTCCAACTTTTCCACCTCAGCGGCCACTTCACCGACCTGATCTCGAACTTGCTGCACATTCGATGCTGCCGTGTTAGCCTTCGCCTAAAATACCAACTCGAGCCATAGGCGGTGCGCAATCGCATGTCTCAAAGGCTGGCAGACCTCATCATAAAGAACAAGATTTACGACAAAGATACTTCCAGCTACGTGAGCGACATAATGAAAGTTTTCCCATTGGTGGGTGCAGGCGATGCTTAATGGTGAAGAACTATTATCTATTTTCCTGAGACTAACGAGGAAACACAATCTGTGATACTTTGTGCGAGTTTAATAATTGCCGATTAATAATAATTGAACAGACTCCAACTTTGCGTTTAATATACAAGACAAAACAACCAATTCAGCTAACAAAATTACCGTCCGTCAATGTCTACCGCACGTATTGCAAGCTAGGGCACCTTAAGTATTTTAAGAAACGACAACAAAGCAAGAAGCAAAGCATTTGGTGTGCAATGAGACGAAACCTCAGCTTCAGGCAGGAGGGACTGGAGTTGCAGCAGACGGTCACTCTGTTCAACCAACTCGCACTCGGTAGCAGAAAGACGACAGCGGAGATCGCGCTCCTGTTGGATGAGGCTCGCTGACGAAGGTTGGTTCTCCATCTTCTGCAGCTCCGCTTCTAGTTCCGCGACGTCCTCCGGTCGACAACTCAAACTGCGTGCGCATGCTGCCTCAAAGCGCTGCCAATGCAGAGCAACAGAGAGTATGTAAGAGAGGACTCAGTCTCATGCAATGGCATTCCTTCGACAACCTCATTACGAGATATCTGCCCTTAAATACCTCTCTGCCGGCAAATAAAAGGTGAGCATAAGGCGCTTCCATCAACTTGGGGAGGGGAAACGGTAGCATGAATCAAGGCGTGAAAATAAGAACGCACCTCACGAGCTTCAGTCGATGGCTCCACAGTATTCGCAGCAACACAGTCAAGTAAGAGATCGAAAATCAATTTGCCTACCGATCCCCCTTCATTTTCTGCAGCGAAATGAATACCCTCCATTTTCTGTAGAGGAAAGTCGATAGTTATGTTCCTCGCTCTCGGATGTAGAAAATCACAATAGCAATGAATAAAGGGTTGATGGTTAGCATAGTTTTTGAATAAGACGAGCAAAAATAAACTACGAATCTTTTATGTCTATTGCGAAAAACTAACGCTATAGGCTTTCGGTACACTCTTTTGAGTAAACAGCTTTATGAGCTTGGTTTAACAAGTTTAAGGACATGATAAGATAGTCTCAGGCAAATCCGACAGTGTTCAGTCATGGCATAGACCTACAGACATAGAGGTGGTGAGTTCGTTACGGAGCCAATCCAAGGCAGCCAGAATCTGAGATGCAGAATGTGGGGCCCCCGGTGTCGTGACAGTACTTCGCTTCAACGCCACGGGATAGCCAAACGACTTCAATGTGCTTGGATTTATAGAAAAGCATTAACCGAAGTAAAGATTAGCTATCGCATTACCATTAGACGCTGCTTGTACATAAACGAATACATTTTTTTCCTTCAAGAAACAGTATAGATTAACCAAATGACACTCACAAACAATGCGCTCACTACAAAAGCGAGTATTTCACACAACTACCCTGGAGTCATAAAGAACGGGATAAAAACACAGCTGAAGAAAACAATAATGAGTATAACGAGATGTTATCGCTAGACTTGTGCGGATGCATATGTTACAGCAGAGAATCAACAATGCACATGCATTGAAATATTACTTGATAAAGTAGTCTTCGAAGGCCAGCTTATCCAACGGTATAAAATAGTTAGGAACGAAGTGATTCATTATGTGCGTAAAAATTGATAGGACCAATTTTTGGCTTGGACTTTGAAGCGCCTTCAGGGATACTTGACCCTCATAACCTGTATCACTGAGGAACTAAGTTGACAAGAAGTAAAATGCACAAAACGACTTGCCTCAACTAGATTCGATATACAGGAAGTAGTAGTGTTTTTTGGCTTGGCCCTAATTGGAACGGCTGCAGACGGTCGAGGCCTGCATTAAAAATGCCATCCAGTAAGGATGAATGAGCTGACACAATGAAAGGCATTATAATTAAAAGCAACGCGCATAAACCAGAATCAAGGCATAACTGTCTTGGAAGTAAAGCAAGAGAAGCATGAAACAAATCACGCTAAATATATGAAAAACAGCAATGACACACAATTGTGAACTGCCAGGAGGGAGACCAACGGAATTCCGATCCGGTTGCCCCGCCACTGAAGAATAGGCACGTCTAGCAGCCATGGAAAAACGGCTCTCCTAGAAAATGACAAGAGATCAGGGAACAACTATCACACACTAAAGAGTAAACCTGTCTCATGCAATACTCAAACGCGAATTCGTAAAAAAATCATAGAAAATATAAGCATAATAAATGTAGAAAAACAAGGCGGAGACAAACCTAATCTAAGAGAAGAGATTAGCCACTAAGAGATAAAAAGGTGACTATTAAAAAACTGAAGCCAATCTAAATCACTCCTGCAGAGTCGGCAAACAAAGAACACTCAACCATACATACCACACCCGAACGCTTAGACATTTGTGATACTTAAAAGGTTGGTCAATTTTGCCAACCTCTGGGCCCGATGAGTTAAAACAAAACGAACGAGTTTGAATGACTGATGCTTAAGTTGGGCATTGGCATCGACATGCATTAAACAATACAAAATTTCTTTACATGTCAAAGCGTCACTACTCAGCGACCTGTGAATTTTTTGCAGGCATGATAGCCATATATGTAATACTTCACTCATGCGACCACCTGATGTCTGGCGGTGGCTTTGGCCTTCAGAACATTCCATGGCTCTATATCTCCTTCTTCTGGAATATATGTATTCTAACCAACGTTGCAGCGTCTCGAGACTTCCCACCGGGTGGAAGGAGGCAGTAAGTAAAGCTGGATACGTGCATTCCGAAGAGAACAAAGCGACTAGGCCTGAGCATGACCCAAACGCCAGCTTACACATACAAGAGCCAGACGAAACTTAAAGTAACCGCCATACGCCAGGTAGTCACATAAATAAAGCGTTACAAACGTAGTGCTTACTTCTATCTGAACGAAGTCTCGGGACGCTACAATAGCATACCAAAGGAATGAATATTTTTGTAAAAAAGATGCAATTGCGTTGTACATACTCATGTATTAAAGCAACCTTTATTGAGGAGAGGCATTTAACCAATTAAAACATGATTTCAGTGCGCGTGGGGCGCAAGGACCCCCATAAACGGCGTAACTTTGTACCGCATTCTTATCGATTTTCACACTTCATTCCATTCTGTACAAAGTACCTAATGAGCCCTTCTTATAAAGCTAGAGGTTCAGATGCCTGAGAGTAAATCCTATGTTGTTAATGTTTTTACTTTAGCACATACAGGAATGACGAAGGCGTCAGTCTTCATCTTTCTCTTACATGTGCGATTTGGCCTTTAAGTTCAGATAAATCCCTGCATAAAACGTTCTATATAGCGTCCCGAGACTTACAAGTGGGCAGACGAAAAAATAGGTGGAGCTAAATACATGCCTGTAGCATCCTGGCCGGTATAAGAAGTCACTAAGTACATCTGAATACACGCATTCTGAAGACGATAGGACAAATGGGGTCTGAACGTGGTCCGAAGGCCAACCCACGTGTACACGCGTCAGACAAAC